CAACTTCATCCCTGCCGAGTCTCTGACTGATAACAAAATCAGTCGGGTTTCGATCCCAGTTTGAGGCAATTGGATGTCTTGTCACACTGATGAATTGTGAAACAGCGAAACAGTCTGTCTGTGTATGACAATATATATATATATATATATATATATATATATATATATATATATATTTGTGTGTGTATATATATATATATATATATATATATATATCAATCTAATATGTTTTACTTTTATTCCTATTTTTATTTTATTTTATCACACACTCACACATACACACACACACACACACACACACATATATATATATATATATATAATGTACAGTTTATCCACAACATCGCGCACAATATTCAGCACCTTGTGTGTGTGTGATTATATATACATATGTAATAAGCCTATTCTGTTACTTATTCTGTAGCTTGTATTAATCTCTGACTACTGACATTTCCTTTCTTCAATATTATCAACGCACAACACCCGAATATCAAAACTTGGTCAAAATTTGCCCCTCAAATTGCCGGAATTGTTACTTGATACTCAATTTTATCTCCTGCCAAATATATTTCGTTTGTTGGTTCCGAAAATCAATCAAACCAAAGCAATGGAGTGGAAGTGTAGTAGCAAAGTCAGTGGGGAGAGTATGAAAGCCACTTATGATGAAGCGCCTGTCAACACCCCAACGACGACTTGATAAATCTTATCGAATTTTTCAATAGCGATAAACCAGCAAAATTCTTTCTTTTATATAAAACCAAATGGTAGGCAATGCAATAGAGATAGGTAATTATAATCACCATGAACACGATCTTTTCACTTTTTGCTTCTACATTTTTCGTAGAATTATATTCAGAAACTGGCGAGAGGAATGTCTCAGCATATCGGACGATATACAGGCCACTCGCGAATCTCTACCCAACAATATGTACATCTTTTTGACGTAGTTCTAAGCAGTAACTCACCATGTTCTTTTAGAACGGGCTTTACACTGTAAAGCATCTAAGTGTTAACTGTCGGAGTAACCTCCTTCCAGACGTATGTAAACTCAAATTAAAATCATTGAAATTAAAATAAAATAAATGCAACACCTAGACTTGCGAATAAGCGTAAAGCAAACAAATTGCGCCACAAAGAGCGAAGCCTACAACACATAAGCGTGGAAGAACATGGAATATTAAACTTTGAGGTAATGTCGGCAATGGCCAAGATGAACAGGAAAAAGACGGCAGGACCAGATAGGATTATAATATAAATTCTATCAACCTTTGTCGATTTCAGCATAATAAATTAAATATACGATAGTGGCAACCTACCTGAAATTGTTAGTCGATCCATAATGAAAATGAATTGAATTGCCACTTGATAAACATTAAGGAAATTATTTTTTGAATGTTCATATAGCCCACAGTACTAACAGTACACTACTCATCAAAATGCAAAAAAAAAAAATCTATTAAAAATTCTGGAAGTACTTCTCCCCAAAGTATAACAACATACAAACAATAAATTTTGTTTCTTTTTATATCGGTTTGAATATATTAAATTACATTTGAAAATTTAGGTAATTTCAGCCATACAACAGTAAATGTTTGTTTTGTGTAAAAAATACTCTTGAATTTAAAAAAAATATGGAGAATAAAGACGATTTTTCTAAATATAAATGTTTCTTGGCGCCAAAATGGAATGAATTTAAACAAGAATTAGCAGCACAGAAATGGCAGTGTCAAATAGTTGTGTAACTGTTTTCTTTTCACGTTAAAATAAAATGTTGATGTATTTTTTCAATAAATCCTAACCGTAGTATCATATATCGTATAAATATCTAATGTTAAACAAAATCAAACTTGAAAGGATATGACATAGACAAATAAGGATAAATCAGTCTCTCTTTTCTTTTCATGTTTTAGGGCGAGACAGGCAAGGGAGTTAGCAAACTGGACATGCCAAAAATCAAACAAGTAAATAAGTTTAAATATCTGAGAAGTGTTTTAACAAATAAAATGTTTTAAATATGTTAAAAATGTTTTAACAAATAAAATGTTTTAAATATATTAATAATTTTTTAACAAATAAAATGTTTTAAATGTATTAAATACGTTAAAAATGTTTTAACAAATAAAATGTTACACTGTAATCCAAAGGCGCTTTGCAATAGCCTTCCAACTAAACAAATTATTAAGAAACAAGAATATTTCGTGAGAAACAAAGAAAAGTATAATGCCATATAATATCAATCTTCCAATATGAAAGAGAATGCTGGACAATTTCCCCATGGATGAAGAGAAGACAAATAAGATGTGGTTCAACAGAAAGTTGCGGAGGATACGATGAAACGTGGAAATTTTAAGGAAAATGGAATCAAAAAGCGCACTTGTATTTAAAAGCAGAAATACACTGTCGAAATTTGTAAGGCACATGATGAGGAAAGAAGACTTGGCAAATTTGACACTCAAAGGACATATTAAAAACACGAGGGACAACGGAAACTAGCGCATAACTTACCTAACAAGTTTGTTCAAATGGATGGCAGGACAAGAATTGGGAGTGATAATTAGACAAACATCAGTTAGAGCTACAAATGATAGGAAGTTGTGGAGAGCAGTGATCGGCCACGTCTTGAAGGGATACGGCAATTGAAAATAATCATTTCCGGAACAAAAATAGTTGTAGGGAGAGAAAATATCGTGTGTGTGTGTGTGTGTGTGTGTGTGTGCGTGTGTGTGCGTGTGTCTTTAACTGTTATTACAACGTCGCGGGTTCAATCCGGCTAACCAGCTTGTAATGGTGTTTTGTTTGGTCGTTCTGCCATGCAAATATATACAGTTCCGTCTATGTTTTTGCTTTCCAGAAGCTTTCTTGCCGTCTTCATAGGATAATAAGTGATGTCGATTCATCATTGTCCACGTCTTGAAGTAATTCCTGGAAATTCATTAGAATCCACATCACTAAAGCCAAATCTATGGCTGAGATACATAGATGACACCTTCATACTCTGGCCACACCAGGAAGATGTCCAGATTCTACTGGACCATGTGAACTCAATAAGACCTTCGATACAGTTAACGATGGAGAAAGAGAGTAACAACACACTCCCATTGCTGGATGTACTAATATCTGGAACAGAGCATGGTTTCAAGACATCCGTATACCGCAAACCGACATTCACCGGACAGTACCTCAATTTCAACTGCCACCATCCATAATGCGTAAAGAAAGAGATCGTCCGCTGCTTACAATATCGAGCAAAAGTCATAAATGGCGACCCAGAGACATTAGATAAAGAATTGGTCAGTATAAGCAGTACCCTACAACGTAACAACTACCCTGGGTACATGGCAGCAACCCCAATAAACTAGGATTGGCGGGTACAAAAGGAGGACAAAAACACTAAGAAAAGAGTCTACCTTCCTTATGTGAAGGAGTTATCTAGAAAATACAAAGAATTTGTGGTTCATATACATTTTAAGGTAAGGCTTCTAGAACACCAGAAACATGTAACACGAGGGGAAGTGGAAAAATCAGCCGTGGCTGACTACATATGGAGAGAGAAAGGAGATCACCTCCGTCTATGGGATCAGGTTGAAATCATAGACAAAGAACATCATTGAAAAATTCATAAACTTAAGGAATCAGCACATATGCTAAGCCACAAAAATATCATGGGCCGACCAAGCATAGAAATGAAACAATATAGGAACCAGTAATAAGGAGTACCAAAGAAAAGCAATAATGACAACGAAAATTGCAATATAAGCACTGGTAAAAAAAAAAAAAAACGTGAAATGATAACAGCAAAAATTGCAATATGAGCACTGTTAAAAAAATTTTGCTGAAGACATTACGTTTATAATACCCAGAAATTCATACACAGATGTCCTTAAGGACACATGGCACACTGGATAAAGGCTTTAGTGACAGGACCCAAAGAGTGTGAGTTCAATACCTGGTTACGGGAGTGGAGAACTTGGAGAGGGGAATTAACAGGAGATAACTGATAACTGATATCCATTAAACATGGCACGTGAAACTAGAACAGTGAGCGAAATAAATGGTTTAGTTCGACATTCCAACCACCTGAAGAAGGCCGGAGCGTACAACGGCCGAAACGTTGTGATAAATTTGGCAACAAATATGAGGATCATAGTCCGGACAATGTAAAATAGTGTATATTGCATCCCCGTAATGAAAATGGTAATATTAGATTGGTGTGTTTTCAAACAATATTTATTATGAAAAAAGTAACATCAAAATTTAACATCGACATGCATTGTTATAACATGAAAATAAAATACTTTTATTAAAAAAGTAAACAAAACAGCAATTTTTGTTAATAAATAACTCGCTTACAAGAACGCCTGATAATTATGCACCAACCCAAAAGTAACATGTCCTTATAAGGAAACAATCGGCAGATATTGATCAAGCAGAGAGTACTGCTCTCGGCTTAAAACAATTCTTCAGGAAAATAAAGTCCGGTAGATGTTATCGCTCTTTCTAGTATTGATCGGGGTTTCCTTCCTAGCTTTTTAATTGAAGTAATATGGAACGTCAGCCTCTTGAGTATGACATTATTCTTTCTTTGAGATGTTGCTGTCGTTGAGAGTCCTCAAGTGTGAGAATGGATAAGAACGGATTTAGATAATTGTAGTCTGAAGGTGAGTGGAAATGACCCGATATAGCTGATTTAATTCTCAAAATCTTTCCTTCTTTTCCTTTCCTTCTTTCAACCCCACGTATTTTTTTTTTTTTTTTTTTTTTTTTTGTTTTTTGTTTTTTTGTTTTTTTTTGGGGGGGGGGTTATCATATGAACAGGAAAATAAGACAAGCATATATTCCTGCTAGATTTCCTTAATCACTATATGCTCAGCGAATGAGAAGGGCCACCCGCAGTGCATTTTTTTTTTAATTAAGGAGAAAGATGAAGAAATCGCCAGGAAAATATATCAAAAGAGATAAGTAAATGGGATAAAAAAAAAAACAAAGAAAAATGAAGAAAATTATTGTACGAAAAACCAAAAAAAGAATAAATAAAAAAAAGTAAAATGTATTCCAATGAGTGGAAAAAAAAGAAAGAAAGAAAGAAAGAAAGAAACCCACTCAAAAGAAAAAAGATTAAAATTGAATAGGAAAAAAGAAATATAACAGAAAAAAATTAAGAAAAAAAGGCACACGCGAAAAAGAAAGAAAAATACAAGCATGAAAAAAAGTAAAATAGAAGAAGGAAAGAAAGAAAAAGAAAAACTCAAAAGAGAAAAGAAAGATTGACACTGAAGAGAAAAAGAGGAAATGTAATAGAAAAAGAAATTAAGAAAGAAAAAATCGTAAATGAAAAGAAAGAAAAATGAAAGAAGAATAATAAAAAAACGGGACAGAAAAAGAAATAAAGCAAGGAAGAAACAAAATCAAAAGATTTAAGAAAGAGAGCCAGAAAGAAACGAATAGAAGAAAAAAACAAGATGGCGAAATATAACAGAAAAAGAAAACCACAAAAATAAGCAGAAAGAACAAAACAAATAGACAAGGGAAATAAGTAAGTAAATAAATAAAAGAAGAAGAAGAAAGTGAATAGAAAAAGGAAGAAAACGTGAAGGGGAAAACAAGAGAGATAAAAGGAAGTTAATAGAAAAATGAAAGAAAGAAAAGAACAGAAGTAAATAGGAAGTTTGTAAGAAAGGTAAGAAGAATAAAAAGAAGTTGATACAAAGACACAAACAAGAATAGATAGGTAGATAGATAGATAGATAGATAGATAGATAGATAAAAAAAATGGGAAGAAAAGATTTTAATACAAGGCCTGCCTCTTCAAAAAATCCGTGTTTCCATTTTTCTGTTTCAATGTTTTCTATTGGCAGAAGAAGATTGAGGCGCTGGGTGAGACAATAGTTGTTCTTCAAAAGACCGCGCGCCAAGCACAAAATCACTAAAACAAACATGACTAATATACAAATGCCTGCTCGAACTCACTAAGAAATTCTTTCGCCACATTTATGCAGATTTGTTGAAACGAAGTGAATTTCAACTGAAGCATGCATTGCACACACACACACACACACACACACACACACACACACATATATATATATATATATATATATATATATATAAATCTAAAAGTGAACATTGAAGTCAACACTCAGAGGCGACAGGCTGTTTCATGCTAGACACAATCGTCAGGCCGCCTGTCATGAAACAGCCTGTCGCCCCTTAGTGTTGACTTCAATGTTCACTTTTAGATTTAGATTTACATACGCTCTATCTCTGATATTGAGCAATTTATCCCATAAATATAGCACACCTTAAAACTATATTTCTTCATATTTTTTATATATATATATATATATATATATATATATATATATATATATATATATATATATATATATATATATATATATATATATATATATAACGGTGTACGACTCGTCTATTTGGGCAGTATTTACTCGACAATCCCGACTGTACAGCCGATTATAATGACGCATTATTTTCCATTTTACATAGTGCTTGCTCGGTTCACAATCTTCGAGTTCTTGAGGCTGTTTATATTAAGTTTCATTATATTAAGTTTAATTTAAGAAGAAAGTTAACTTTCAAATATATGTAAACATCGACAAATAAAAGAAAAACAAAAGAAAAAAACACCAAAAAGGTGCAGCGTGTTGCTCTCCAGGAGTCTAACGCCAGCCATGTTGATGGCAGGGAGAAAAGGTTCTATGTGGTGATTAAATGACAGTTTTTTTGGCGGCATTAATGCTTACAAGTCATTTCTTGCGCGACTGAAAAAGTTCTCTCCGCGTGTGTCAGTGTTTGTGCATGTGTGTGCTATTTATTTGTAATCATTTCACTCCAAGGCAATAAAGCCTCTAAGACTAGAAGAGTTACTGAGTGTAAAAGAATATGAGAAAAAGAAAAATAATTTTAAGGATTGAGAACAATAAAAGAACCAGAATTAAGATGTACGATAACGATTGGCATTGCATTTGCATTGTTGAGGCTCAAAGACCTGGAAAACAGGAGGTCAGATGAGAGTTCCATAAGAGAAAATTGCGAATAAAGAAACCATTGTGACGTTGTTATTACGATGTCGTGGGCTCACTGCGGCTAACCAGCTTGTAATGTCCTTTTGCACTTTTTTTTCAGATCCCTAAATGCATACAGCCCCCTCTATCAGTTCTAATTCTCCACCCACTCTCTAGATGCTTACTTGGCTGCCGCATACGTGGCCAGACACCACCATATATATCTGGAAAACTTCGAGGTTCACACGTTCTATATCATGTGAGTCAGACACATTTCTAGCCATTTTGTGGTGGCACAATCATTCTTCCGTTCATTCTACAGATAAACAAATCTCTGTGTGTAATGCTGCGGAGGCTGTAGCTCCAATTCCTGATTTCAAATCTTGAAAAAAAAAATCCGTAATTTCAGTACGTCCATTGTTTTGTGTCGAAATTCATAATTGATAGGTTGTTGGCTCGTATCACGTGATTTGATGTCTGATGAAGTGTGCGTGCGCATGCGTAAACATAATTGAATATATATTTTTTTTTAAATCAGTGTGTATATATAGCTTTCAATGCGTCTGCAACACTGACAATAAATATGTACAAATATATGTTTTTATTTTTTATTTTGTTTTTTTGGGTTTTTTTTTAATTTGAGTTACGTATGTAAATGTGTATGAGTCTGATTACCTGTACCCCGACAACGGCATCCCCACTTCCAGGGCGTTTCTCTATTATTAAGTTAAACATTGTAATTTTCAAGTAATGCATTTGATTAACTTTTGTTCGTTTTCTTAAAAAGTTTCTCTTGCTGCCCTCTCTTTCTCTCCATACGTCTACATATATGTCTCCTCTTTCTACATTTCTCTCTCTTTCTCTCTCTCTCTCCCTCTCTCTCTCTCTCTCTCTCTCTCTCACTCTCTCTCATTACCACTCGGCCAATTGCCATTTTCTTTGTTGCAGTTTTTAATTGAAATTTTCAGTAAGTCACCAAAGTGATTGTAATTAGAATGGCGTGTGTAGTAATATATAATTTTGATTTTCAAATCAAAAGTCAGAACAGCTTTCGTAAAGAAGTAGTTTCAAATTGTCGTAATTGGTAAATTATTAAAACCAGAGTTTGTTTATTATTTCGACTGGATCATTTGCTATATTTTCTTGCGATAGATATGAAAGTATGAAAATATGTTTTAAACTTTTGGGGAAAAATTATTACCAGCAATACATTTTTGAAAAAAATATTACCAACAATACATTTTTGAAAAAAATATTACCAACAATACATTTTTTTAAAAAAAAATATTACCAACAATACATTTTTAGAAAAAAAATTAACAGCAATAAAATCTTGTCGACACTAAACCTTTGAGCTCTGACCACCGCTTTACCGGTGTTAGAGAAAAAGGACGTAGTGCCAGTTGAACAGTGGTAGAAAAAAATAATTTAATGCCCAGCCACCGGCTGAACGGTGGGTAAACACTTGTAACTATTTTATTATCGACCGTGAAAGATTACATTCTTTGTTACTTGAGAATTTTGACTCAGGCAGAAGAGTTAAAATTGTTCAGGAACGCAAGACCCAAAGGGTTAACTAACCCACTGAGGTTGATATACCGTAAAGCAAAACAAACCAAACCTTGCGACAACGGCATACAGACGGTATGATCGATGTTAGGTTGCATGAAATAGACCGAAAAACATTCGCATGATCTGTCTCTTTTGTGTCTCTCGCTCTCGACTCCAATTCAACGATAAACTTTGAAATTCTCACAGCGATGAGACCAAAGAAGAAAACGTATTTCTATTAGATATCAAGTGTTTTATTGAAAGTCGCAAAATAAATTAAAAAAAATTGAAAAAAAAATTCTTTTTTCTTTTTAACATTTTTGACGCTAAATTTTGTGCTTCCATCTACGTCGACAATTTGTCCAGATACTAACAGAAAATGAAATGGTATAACCTTAACAGACAATGTTAAATTTCGGTGGAATACACTTTTAATTCCTAAATAAATGTTTCTGTTTCTTAATACTCTGGGTTTTGGAAGATATCTTTCGCTATCTCAGTGCGGTATCAGATTTCAGTACCGCGTTTTACGTCTTCTGTTAAAACACTTCCTATATCCTTAATGACTTCAAGACCTAAACAGAGTACAGTAGAATCCCTGGCATATGAGGAATATGTTACAAAATCCGAATATGAGGGGTTATATTTCGATTAAAATAAAAGAACTGAAATCAAGATTAACACTTATTTTCAATGTTTTATAGTAAACAAAATAAGCTAATGATGATGTAGGGAGCTCATATTATGAGCATATGTAAGGTAGATATCGGTTGATTGTAGGAAAGGCCAAGATTGTAGGGATAAGGGATGAATCCTCTCGGGAGACCCTTTCATATACTAACAGTTCCATGAAAGAAGCTGCCTGAGTGAAATTTATTTCTTGCTAGAGTAACATGAAGGGAATGGGGATGATTTTCCACCTTGAACATAACATGGCGGGTTACAGATATGGCGGTCTGAGCTGGTAGGACTAAGTAATATAGCGCATTTGAACATTTGCCATAGCAATAGCGAAAGAGTAGATCTCGTGTAATGACCAACGATAGAAGCAGGAATTATGTACATTATGGGGTGATACAAAGAACCGGCCATTGCTCTCTTAGAGATGACACGAATTTATGAGTTCCATTTGAGGTCTGGAATGAGCTTTCCACCAAAGATTGTTTTAAGATTTTTTTTAATTTCAACCAAATCACTACTGGCAGCTCAGTCACTGAATACCAAAATACTTCCTTATAGGGAAATGGCTGATACTATCATTATCATACTAGTGTATTTATGCTAATGTGTGAATAGATGAAGAAAAATGTATTGCTGGTGATATTTTTTCTAAAGTTTTATTGCTGGTAAAAAAAATTTTCCCAGAAGATATTTCTAGTAATACTTTTTTTTCAAAAATGTATTGCTGCTAATATTTATTTCTTCAAATATGTATTGGTGGTAATATTTTTTTTCTAAATATGTATTGCTGGTAATATTTTTTTTCCAAAAATTTATTGTTGGAAACTACACATCAACCTAATAGTGCATGTTTAAGATTTACTCCTGTGACGTCACCCCCGTGCCTCTCCGCCCCCGCTCGTCCCCGTCCTGTCCCGTGACGACCAATGTGACTTAGTGTTGGTCGCGGCACCAATTGTGACGTTCTAACCTTTTGCTGATTCGGATGGGAATCTGGTTAGATTCGGTATCAGCTTTGTCGTTCCCAGTTCGCCTCCAAAGTCTGGTTACCGAAGTAACTGCTTTGATTTCTAGTCTAACCTATCCACGTTGTGATTTGATCTTAGGTCGACGAAATCAATCAGTCGTCGGGCCGCAATGCAAGCCGAGTCCGAGCAAAGGTAACACCGCACAAGTATATGTAAAAAAAAAATAAAGTAACAACTCGAAAAGTTCAAATGTGTTAAAAAAGAATAACAATATTTTATATCTGGTTACTGAATACAGGACTGCATCTTTCTCCCAAACCGCTAATATGGATTCGTGACACTTTGTGTTTGTTAGGCGAGTCTTAACATCTTAAATTGTTTTTCAAGAAACTGGTTTTTGGTGTCTTCAGGCGATATTCGTAAAAATTGTTTTGGTGGTGTGAGTCTAAGTCGTTCTTCAAAAATTAATTTGTTTTTGGTTAGAAGTTGAAGTCGAGAATGCGTGGATCTTCAGTCAGCTTTCTGTGAGGCGGGTCTCAGAGCTCACAGCTCAACTGCAACTAACTTCTCTCTGACGCAACTGCAACTCCAACTCCAAGTCAACTTTCTGCGAGGCGGGTCTCAGAGCTCACAGCTCAATGCTGCGTCTCTCTCTCCAACTTCCAACTCCAACTCAACTACAAGTCAACTGCCTTCTGTGTTACTGCGACTCTG